TGGAGTATTCCGTTCTTTTGGGGCTAATTTCATAAGCTTTTCAAAATCAAGCCAAAAAGTCTCCAAAAGCTTATTTTAGGAGCTTGGAGTCAATGGAAAAAATATTATACATTAAATTTCAGTACGGGTCACCGACAACAAGAAATCTATAGATATAATGTTTATCAATATAAAAATCGGTTATATATGGGACATGTTGTTTGTAGGGCTAATTTCATATGATTTTCAAATTGAGTCAAAATCTCTCCAAAAAATTATTTTATGTGCTTGGTGTCATTGGAAAAAATATTCTACATAAAATTTCAATATGGGTCACCGGCAACAAGAAATCTGTAGATATAAAGTTTAACAATAAAAATTGGTTACAGGAGGGTGTTCTGCTCCGCTCCGTTTCGTTCCTTTTTTTTGGATTAGTTTCATATTTTTTTTTTCTATATCAAGTCAAAATGTCTCCAAAATCTTATTTTAGGAGCTTGGATTCAATGGAAAAAATATTCTGCATTAAATTTTAGTACGGGTCATCGACAACAAGAAATCTGTAAATATAATATTTACCAATATAAAAATCAGTTATAAATAGGGTACATCTTTTTTTGGGCTAATTTTATATGATTTTCAAATTTGAGACAAAATGTCTTAAAAAAATAATTTTAAGTAGTTGGAGTCTTTGAAATAAATATTCTACTTTAAATTTCACTATGGGTCACCGATAACGAAAAATCTGTATATGTAGTATTTGTCAGTAAAAAAAATTGATGGGTGTGTATTTTTTTTTTTTAATTAATTTTATATGATTTTCGAAATCAAGCCAAAAGATCTCCAAAAAATTATTTTAGGTGCTTCATGTCAATGGAAAAAATACCCTGCACACAATTTTACTATAGGTCACCGACAACCAGAGAACTCTAAAAATAATATTTACCGGTCAAAATTGGGTAATAAAATGGTTGCAATTTTTTTTGGCATAATTTCATATGTTTTTCAAAATCAAGCCAAAATTTCGCCAACATAAATATTTTAGGTGATTTGTGTCAATGGAAAATATATTCTACATAAAATTACACTATAGGTCACCGATAAGAAGAGATCTCCAAATTTTTATATTTACCCATGAAATAACTTCGACAAAGAAGCTCTTTCCAATTTATTGTTTTTCTTTTAGTTTGTAGGGATTGATATTAATGCAGATTAAATCCTATCATCTCGTTGCCTTCTAAAACATTGTTGACACAATCATAAATTATGGCAAAAATGACAACTGCTGACACCCATCATATGTTACAAATTCCCAAAAAATTCCTTCAAAACTTCACAAAACATCCAATCCACTCGATGTGTGAATAAATCTACCGCAGTGAAATAATAAATTCTCATTCTCTGAGTTAAATGAGATTAACTAATACAAGTAATCCCATATATACACATACATCTAAACAAAATGAAATGCAAATAAATTATGTTCAAGAAGAAGAAGAATAAAAACAACAACAAAGTCATCCACAACTCAAATATTTTGTAATTTCTTTTCTTTAAGTTTTCACAAGTCTATGATTTTTTAAAAAATATTTTTTGAAGTCTAGGATTTATTTATTTTTTTTTTTTTTGAAGTTTAAGATTTTTTTAATATGTATATTTTCCTAATATCAAGTCTTCAATATTTTATAACAAATCCAACACATTTGTAAATATTTATTTTTTAATGATGTCTGTATTATTATTCTAATGCCTCATATCCTTGAGCCGTAGTAATCCTCTTTGTTTCATATTAGAAACATATGTGCCAAGATTATTAGATTATATAAAATGCCTATGTTTATATTTATACATATTAACATGACACCCCAGCAAGCACCATACCCTATCCGTTGCACATGGAAATGACATCCAGAACCCCCGTTTCTCCGTCCTCCCATATTTTTACAATACAACAAAATCCTTATAGTCTATATTTACATTTCCCAGGAGTCTATTGTTGTTGTTGCTTGTATTTTCCCTGAAATCATATTTGTTTTCATATTTACCTCCCATGACGATTTTCAAGGGTGTTGATGAGGCCAGAAGAAATAAAAAAATGAAATTCCCTCGGATAATGTACTTGGCTTATTTCACAGTTCTATTAAACATTTTCATACCGCCCATGGCTTATGTGTGTGTGAGAGACAGAGTGGGTGAAGAGAGGGTGGCGTGGAGAGAGGAAGTGTGGTATAATAAGCTGCGTTTATATTTTTGTTTTGTTTTTTCCTGCTGCCTTCAAAATGTCAACGAATATTTTTCAATTAACTTAAAATGTCATAGAGAAGAAGTAGAAGAAAAAACGCGAGAATGAAATATAAACAAATAAATTTGGTGACAGTTGTGGATGATTTTGTTGTTGTTTTTATTTGTTGTTGTTCTTCTTCTTGAACATAATTTATTTGCATTTCATGTTGTTTAGATGTATGTGTGTGGGATTACTTGTATTAGTTAATCTCATTTAGCTCAGAGAATGAGAATTTATTATTTCACTGTGGTAGATTTATTTACACATCGAGTGGATTGGATGTTTTGTGAGGTATGGTAGGAATTTTTTGGGAATTTGTAACATATGATGGGTGTCAGCAGTTGTCATTTTGCATAATTTATGATGGTGTCAACAATTTTAGAAGCAACCTAGGTGGGAGGATTTTATCTCCATTAGCAACAATCCCTACAAAATTAAAAAAAAAAAAAACAATAAATTAGAAAGAGCTTCTTTGTCGAAGTTATTTTATAGGTAAATATTATATTTGGAGATTTCTGTTTGTCGGTGACCTATAGTGAAATTTTATGTAGAATATTTTTTCCATTGGTAGTATTTACCTAAAATAATTTTTTGCAGACATTTTAGCTTGATTTTGAAAAATATATGAAATTAGCTCCAAATTAGTCTATCAACGGCATATCCTATTTTTTATCGATTTTTTATAGGTAAATATTTTATCTACAGATTTTTGTTGCCGTTGACCTATAGTGAAATTTTATGTAGAATATATTTCCCATTGGTAGCATTTACCTAAAAAAAAATTTTGTAGACCTTTTTGAGCCAATGTTGGAAAACTTATGAAATACGACCCACATTAGTCCATCACATGATATAAGCTAATTCTTACCGGTTTTTTTTATAGGTAAATATTTTATCTACAGATTTCTTATTGCCGGTGACCTATAGTGAAATTGTATGTAGAATATATTTCCCATTGGTAGCATTTACTTAAAAACATTTTTGGAGACCTTTTTGAGCCAATGCACTATGGCCGAAATCACGATTTTGGCGGCATAAAATATTTCCCGACAAGCCAGCTTCACTAAATTTGGTATGCAGAGTTATAAAGGTAAAAAAATTAATTTCAGAAAAAATGGGCGGGCCACACCCCTTTTTTCACAAACTAATGACAAAAAGTCTTCCTTACGAGCCAGCTTCACTAAATTTGGTATGCAGAGTTATAAAGGTAAACAAAATAATTTCAGAAAAAATGGGCGGGCCACACCACTTTTTTACAAAGTAATGACAAAAAGTTCTTCCCGACAAGCCAGCTTTACCAAATTTGGTATGCAGAGTTATAAAGGTGTAAACATAGGTTTGTGAAAAAATGGGCGGGTCACGCCCCTTTCTTACAAAGTAATGACAAAAAGTCCTTCCCGACAAGCCAGCTTTACCAAATTTGTAATGATGAAAAATAGATTTGAAAGCACTTCCCGATTATATGGACTTTTATTGAAAAAGTTACATGAGAAAAACAAGTAAAAGTATCAAGAAATTAATATATTTATAATGTATATATATTTTTAAAAGGAATAGGGCTTAATTAATCACGGAATGTTTCTTCATTTTCTTCCGCTTCTAATTCCAATGAATAATTATTTAACGATTCTAAGCTTTCATCAGAATCAGATGTATAATCGTACCTGGAAGCTTCTTGAGATGTTGAAGGTAAAAGCAGTTCTGGCGATATTTCTGGGATTTTAAAAAGTTGAATGACTTCTCGAGGAAATGGAAGCTTTTTTGAACTATTTGTACGTTCTTTTAAACATAAACTTGATATATAAGGATCAGAGCTATCCATAGCTCTATGAAACATGTCAAGTATGTTGTGCATTCTTGAATCCTTTCGAGCATGGCCAGCTCTGTCTTTTTTATAATATTTGTTTCGCGCTTCAGATGCATTTTCTGCAAGGCAACCTACGGGTACTACTGATGCTCCAATTATTTGTGATGAATGGACTAAAATTTTGTGTAATGTGGCAGACATCGAGTACCATTCGTAGTTTTGGAAAAATATTTCACTAGTTTTAATACAATGAGCGCGAAACTTTTGAGAATCAATTTCAAATTCAGAGGAGAGGGCAATTAGGATTACGTGCAAACTTTTCAAAAAATCGACATTTATACCAGTAATAGATGCAAAAAGTTCCGTGCGAGAAAATGCTCTTCTAGCTGTGTTGCCATCGTTGGTGTTTCCAGTGCCATTTGCTTTCGGCTTATCGACATGAAGGCCCATTTGAAGCAAAAACTCTCTTTGAATTTTTTGTTTCTTTTTTAAAAGGATTCTTTTCTCTTCTGCTCCGCGAACTTGCCATTTTTTTCAAATCAAGCTTGTATGAAAGTTTTAAAACAAACTCGAAAGTACGAATCCACGCATGCAAAGGACTTATCCCATATTTTAATGCGCCGGCCTTCACTTCAAAATGTGGAGAATCAAAGTTTTTTATAGTTCGAAATTGCTTTGGTCCAGCATGACAAATGGGGCATTGTTGTGTACTTTTAGTTTCAGTTAACACATTTAAGACCTTCCCGTCTATTAATGTCATATATAAATTATAGTTGACTTTAATTTGTTTCCCATTACTTAATATGTATTGTAGTGGTTCCAACTTCTTAATCTGGTTATTTATGTTGTGATTTTCGGATATAATGTGTGTTTTTGTTTCTTTAACAAACTCCACTTTTAAAGGTCTACAAAAGCGTACTGACTGGGGCGTACGGTTAACCCAAATATTATCACCCGCTGATGAAATTATTTTTATTGGTATAACTGATGTGACAAAAAGGGACTGGTCGAAACTTTCCGAAGTATTTTGCACAAATTTTTGTTTAAACAAGCTGTGACCGGTAGAGCCATCAAAACCGTAGCTTAAAACTAGGACCGAGTCTTCAACATCCATTGTACACAATACTTCATCTTGATATTGAAGAATTCTTCTAGCTGTATGGTCTAACAAATTTTGCATCGATACTTCCACAGAGTTTTCATTCGCTTTGATTTCATTCGGTCTACATTTCAATTTGCTCTTAAAAACATTATCATAAGTCGGGTAAATACTACAATTATGTTTTAAATTTAATTGACGCATATTTTTGTACTGTTGTTTAGTTAATCCGTTTTCTAACAAAAACGTCAGAGCTTCTTCCGGTGATATTGGTGTAACTTCTTTATGGCTAGTATTAAGAACTTTTCGAATTTTGGATGGTCGGTTTGGAGATATAACAACTTGTTGTAGGACAAATGTCAAATCCGCTGAGTGCGATTTTTTGGCAGATATAGAGGCAGCATGAACTAATAGTTGCGTATTGTCTCCTTGTTGGGATGCTAATTCGGAAGCTAATCTCCTTTTATTTCTTTCGCCGCTATCAACATAGGTAGTTTTTGGACGACCGATAGCATTGATCTTTTTCGGTACAACTAAAATTGTTTCTCGACCCAACCAATCCTTATTATATTTTCTAAATCCGTTCTCATTTCTGCATTGTCTATCCCATTGTCGTTTAATAAAAATAGATAAATTCCGTGATTTAGTACAAATTAATTTACTTAAATCAGAATCAATTTCGTATGGAATTTTTCCTTTTATGTAATTCGATACATTCCTCTTATTTCTCAACCAAAACTCAAATATTTCGGAATTTTTGAATCTGAGTATTTCTGCAAAAAGATGAATAATTCATTCGTTAGCAGTCATTAGCAGACACTTTCAGCATGTCATAAAACTAGAGTTTTCTACGAACAATCACATATAAAAAGTTCCCGTAACACTTTGTTACATTTTTAGTTTTACTCCACGAAAAATTAAAAAACACTAAAAAATTTCACACAAAAAATTCACATAGAACACACGAAACTACGCACGAAATACGAACATTTAGCAAAGTGTATTTATATATAGTAAAAGTACTCACCTCGAGTATTAGAATTCATATTTACAAAGTTTTTTTTTTACAAAAATTTATTTTTAAAAACAGCTTTTATTTTTACCAAACAAATTGCTGGTTCACTTGTAATTACACGTGTTAGAAGTTATGTAAACATTAACAGCTGTTTGTGCGTAAACATGGTTGCCAAAAGTAATTTTTTGTTTTTGATTTATTCTTATCAATATGTTGTGTATTGAATGCTGTCAAAAATTTTTTTAAATTGTAATGTTGAAAAATTGACTTTTTGCCGCCTAAATCGTGATTTCAGCCATAGTGCAATGTTGGAAAACTTATGAAATTTTCTAAAATATTTTTACAAAGAAAATTAGAAAATTGTCACCTTAGGTTTTGGTTGATTTGACCCTCGGAATATTGATCGATCATCATCTAAACAGCCGCTCAAAGTATTTGGTCAGATCCCCTTCACATTGTAAAATATGTGATGTTCTGCATATAATAATTACCTCTAGAGCGACTAGAAAATCTGACAAAATTAAAGTTTTCCGTTCATTGCATCCCCTGAATGAAATCGCAACTTCACCGAAAACTATAGGCGTCGTCCTTGACCATAATCGGAATTTCATGTACAATTTCAAAGCGATCAGCGCGACATTTCCGTCCTCTAATGGAGTAATAGTAATACTATGCACATAGTCACGTTTACCTAATTACGTTTAACTCCCACATCAGAGTACATACGATAATATAATTGGTATCAATTTAAAGGTCAACCACTCCTCTTGGATATACTATCAACTTCTCGGTCATATGTCCTTCAGTGGCAAGTATATACTCCCCATAATAAAAATTTTGTAATTTTTCACACAAAAGTCAGAGTCCATTTGATCCGCAAAATATTGACAGGTCTTTATCCAAAAAGGCATACTTTTCCTTTGGCCCGATCCCCTTCTCCATGTAAAATTTCACGATGTTCGGGCAATAATTGCGGCCACTGGATCGAGCAGAAAAAAATAAATTTGGTCCATTTCATCCCCTAAATATTAACCGATCATTACCAAAAACAATAGCCAATTAGCCAAAACCCATCCTACATGCAAAATTTCGTGAAGATTGGTCCATAACTCTGGCATGTATAGTGTTTACAAATTATGATGGACAGACAGACGGACGGACACCCATGTCTAGATCGACTCAGCTAGTCGAGATCGGCATACATAAAGGTAGGTCTTGGACCAATATTTCGCGGCGTTACAAACTCTTTGGGGCTGCACAAAGCTATAATACCCTGACAACATAGCCGATTTTTTACTGATAAATATTATATCTACAGATTTCTCGTTGTCGGTGACCCATAGTGAAATTTTATGTAGAATATTTCTTTCAAAGACTCCAACTACCTAAAAAAATTTTTTGAAGATATTTTGACTCGATTTTGAAAAACGTATGAAATTAGCCCCAAGGAAGGGAGTATCCTATTTAAAACCGATTTTTTTATTGGCAAATATTAGATTTACAGATTTCTTGTTGACGGTGACCCATAGTGAAATTTTATGTAGAATAGTTTTTCCATTGACACCAAGCACCTAAAATAAGCTTTTGGAGTCATATTGGCTTGATTTTGGAAAAATAATGAAATTCGCCCCCCAAAAAACGGGATACCTCATTTATAACCAATTTTTATCGTTAAATTTTATATCTACAAATTTGTTGTTGTCGGTGACCCATAGTGAAATTTTATGTTGAATATTTTTTCCATTGACTGCAAGCTCCAAAAATAAGCTTTTGGAGAGATTTTGAGCCCATTTTGAAAAACATATGAAATTAGCCCCACAAACATCATGCCCTACATATAAGCGATTGTTTTTATTGATAAACATTATATCTATAGATTTTTTGTTGTTGGTGACTTATAATAACATTTTATGTAGAATATTTTTTCCATTGGTATCAACCACCTAAAATCATTTTTGGAGACATTTTGTCTCAAATTTGAAAAAAAAACATATGAAATTGGCCCCAAAAACGGAATACCCTGTTTTTAACCGATTTTAATCATTAAATTTTATATTCCCAGATATTGTTGTTGCGGAAGACCCATAATAAAATTTTATGTAGAATATTTTTCCATTGACTCCAAGAACCTAAAATAAGGTTTTGGAGAGATTTTGACGCCATTTTGAAAAACATATGAAATTAGCCCCCACAGATATATATATATATATATACATACAGATAAATAGTATATATACAGATTTTTTGTTGTTGGTGACTTATAATAACATTTTATGTAGAATAATTTTCCATTGACTCCAAGCATGTAAAATAAGCTTTTGGAGACATTTTGGCTTGATTTTGAAAACAACTTATGAAATTAGCCCCAATAACGCGATACCCCAATTAAAGCCAATTTTTATCTTTAAATGTTATATCTACAGATGTGTTGTTGTTGGTGACCTATAGTGAAATTTTATGTAGAATATTTTTTCCATTGACTGCGAGCACCTAACATAATTTTGTGTAGAGATTTTGGCTCAAGTTTGAAAATCGTATGACAATTTCCCCACAAACATTATACCCTACATATAATATTAAAACTACAGATTTGTTGTTGTTGGTGACCCACAGTGAAATTTTGTGTAGAATATTTTTTTCCATCGACTCCAAGCACCTATCATAATTTTTTTGGAGAGATTTTGACTGAAATTTGAAAATCATATATAATTTTCCTTAAAAACAATATGTCCCATATAAATCCGATTTTTATATTGGTAAATTGTATATCTACAGATTTCTTGATGTCGGTGACCCACAGTGAAATTTAATGCAGAATATTTTCTTCATTAACACCAAGCATCTAAAATAAGTTTTTGCCTACATTTTGGCCCAATTCTGAAATGAACATATTAAATTGCATTATTTAAATTATGAAAAACAATGACACCTATTTTATAGGACCGAAAACACCCCTTAAATGAATTATTAGAGGGTTAATATTGTTGACGAAAATCTTCCTAAAAATTTTGTTAACAATATTGCACAACACTTTATATGCCTAAAATTTATAGATTCCAAGAAAAATTAAAAGGATTTTAATATAGTTCAGATTTTTTAAATTTTATTTTTCACCTAAATTCTAAATTTTATTGTTTTCCTCTTTATTTAAATATTTTCTGTTATTTAATAAACACCATCATCATCATCACATTGTTCTCTTTTCAGCCTATTATGCATGTAATTATTATTTTCTTACATTTTATTGTGAAATATTTTTTAGTGGCACCAACTGCCATGAAATTGCCGTAACGAAAACAAATGGCAAGCGTTTTCTTCTTCTGTGTGATGGTGGTAGTATGAGTAATATTTTAGAAACATCAAATATTAAGTATACGTAATGGTTGTTATTAGCATAAAGTAATGGTATATGTGTGCCGTATACGTAATATAAATATTCCGCATTTTATATACAAAATAATACCATTGCATGCAACTGAATTTTTTATGCATGTTTTCTCGTGGGTATTTATCAAAAAATATTTTTTAAAAAATCCACGCCTAGTGAAAACTGCAAAAAAATATTTTTTAAAAAATCCACGCCTAGTGAAAACTGCAAAAAAATATTTTTTAAAAAATCCACGCCTTGTGAAAACTGCAAAAAAATATTTTTTAAAAAATCCACGCCTTGTGAAAGCTGCAAAAAAATATTTTTTAAAAAATCCACGCCTTGTGAAAACTGCAGAAAATATTTTTTAAAAAATCCACGCCTTGTGAAAACTGCAGAAAATATTTTTTAAAAAATCCACGCCTTGTGAAAACTGCAAAAAAATATTTTTTAAAAAATCCACGCCTTGTGAAAACTGCAGAAAATATTTTTTAAAAAATCCACGCCTTGTGAAAACTGCAAAAAAATATTTTTTTAAAAAATCCACGACTTGTGAAAACTGCAAAAAATATTTTTTTAAAAAATCCACGCCTTGTGAAAGCTGCAAAAAATATTTTTTAAAAAAATCAACGCCTTGTGAAAACTGCAAAAAATATATTTTTTTTAAATCCAAGCCTTGTGAAAACTGCAAAAAATATCTTTTAAAAAATCCAAGCCTTGTGAAAACTGCAAAAAATATTTTTTTAAAAAATCCACGCCTTGTGAAAATTACATAAAATATATTTTTTTAAATCTACGCAAAAAATATTTTTAAACAAATCCACACCTAGAGCATCCTCCAAAAATTATAATTTAAAAAATATGCGCCTGTTGGTGTCCTCCATTGAAAAACGTATTATTCCGCCCCTATAGTTTTACCTAACCTCACTGTCTAATTAAAATTTCAAACCAAAACAAAAAGCATTGCCCATTCACCATAAGGTAAATACCAACCAAAGTTAACCACCATTCATAGTGATGCGATGTGATGGCGATGGTGATAATGATATGATTCTCCTACAACTGCTGCTATTGTTGTTATTATTCTTTGCAATAATGATGTGCTACTGATCCTACGTTGCATGAATGCTAAGCAGGATATAATGAAATCCCTTATTATATTCAGTTCAGTTCTATTTTTTGTTCATGTCATGGCTTCGCTTAGGAGACTCTCTACAAATGAACAAGTGTCAGGATTACAATCTTCAAATGTGTACGCAGCAGCAGCAGCAGCTGGGAGAAGTGTTTTTGCCGTCACACAGGATAAATATAAACAATGGTAGGAGTTGTAACCCGCAACAACAGCAACAACAACAAGGACAACATTAAGTGCATAATACATATTTAACATTTGAACACGTACACAAGACACATTTGCAAACGCAGAAAAAAAAATAAAGAAAAGAGGAATGGCAAACAGAAGATGAACAATGCCAAGCAAACGACAACAACAACAAACACACAAAGAATTCTAAACACCCTGAGGACCAAACATTTTTTCAAGGAAACGAAATATTTGAAGAAGTGTGTGAGTGAGGGCGAGTGTGAATGTGGGTGGGAGTATGTGTGTGTGTGCGTGTGCATGCTTTTGGTCCACACTCCAAACATTGGCTTGGCAGTAACGA